GTTGATCTACTATGTGAAAATGAAGAACATCATAACAGATTAAAAATATCCAGGTAAAAAAAATTGTTTTAAAATTACCTAGTTAAAAAAATATTACCTAGGTAAAAATCAAATTTACCTGAAGAAAAAAATTACCTACAACATATACATGACACAAAACAGTCACGTGAACATCTGACGTCACGTGGCTTAAAGCAACCAATCAACAAAAATCGTTCGCCAGGCAAACAGTTGGAAGAGCATAAACAATGGTGTGACTACAGGCAGATTTTTCTCACCTCATGCTTTGCCCTGGCTCATGTATCGCGCTAGAGCCCGCTAATCCACCTGTGCTGCAGGCTACTTAATAGGGGTTTGTTTACCTTGAAAATTTTCAACATCAGGCTCATTTCTCAGTGAACATGGAGTTGCTTAAGGTTACAGTATACCTTCAGGTCAGCAATTTTCTTCAAATTTGGATTTTGGGTCAAAGTAGTGGTCAAAGAATAATCTCTAATTTCTGAAAAAAAAATTTGAAAAAGACTAAATATTGGTGGAGAAATAGCGGTTTTACGTTTTCGCCGGAAGTAAAAGTTTACCTCTTGATTGACAGCCCTATGGCGTGTATACAATCAACCGAGACGATTTTCGCGGGAATTACCTATACGGATGTCACGATCAGCATTGTTGTTCTGACTACCAAGCATTTTTGGTATAAGGTGTCATTCTATTAAGTTATAAGTAAACATAGACCACGTTAAAAACATGGATCAGTTCGAAAAAGTGGAAACAGCCAAGAACGAACGATTTTTTTGCCTGCCTTATACAATAGTTATAGCTTCATCCGCATGCCAAACTTTCGCTTCTTCACTAGAAGCGAAAGTTTGGCATGCGGATGAAGCTATAACTATTGTATAAGGCGGGCAAAAAAATCGAGGTAAGACAAAAGAAAGGTTCTGTAAAAATTTGGGAGCTTGACAGCAATAATGGGGATGTTGACAGAGACTCCGATTAATCCAATATCGACGAATTGGACTCATTGAGACCCATTGAAATATTATCCATGCACAGTTGACCACACACAGTTGCTCTGCTGCACTTTCTTTTATTTGTTTTCTTCGTCCAGCCACTCTAGCGTTCGTATCCTTTTTCATGACCAGCTTCAGGAAAAACCGAGTTACAGAAAAATTATCTCTCTGCCTTCGGCGCCTTGAGCGCATTGCAAAACACAAGGGTTTTTTGGAGATTCGCGCATAAATTTCATCAGGAGATTAACGGTAGAAAACTTTCCCTGCACTGATTGGCTCAGTTATCTGAGAACCTAGTTGAAGGTGTTTGTGGGCAGAGTTTGTTTGCGAGGCAGAAGATTTTTCTTAGCGTTGTTTTCTCGAATAAATTTCTTTGCTGGAAGCAGACACTTAAAAGAGTTATAACTCAAAGGGAATTTGTTCAATTGCCCTCAAATTTGGACAGTAGGTAGTTTAACATATAAACTACAAAAACATGTCTGCAAATTGTTAATTTCAAAATACTTTTTCTTTGAGAGCAATTTTTGTACGGTCACTCTACATTTTTTTAATCCTATTTCGAAAATGTTCTGTAACTTTTTATTGCAATTGAATATGGCAAAACACAGACATGTTTTTTAAGTGCTTTGGGCCCTGAAACCGAGGAAAAAATGAAATTGGTGAAAAACAAAATTCACTTTGACTTGCAGCTTTCGAAAGGTGATTCGGGCACCTGCATTTAGTGGTCGTGAAAAGTTCGACAATTCATTTTATTTCAAAATTCTTGGTATAGTTTGATAGCCAGCTCTATAAGCTTTAATTTGATATAGGGGTTTAGGTATCTACCACTTATACTGCATGTGCTACATCGCTTGCACACGAGACACCCCTGAAGGTATAAGGTAACCTTAAGAGACAATTGTTATAAAAATGTGTACGAATGTTTTTATCACTCGTCACGTTCTATTTCAGACTCTTATCCGCCATCGCCTTTTCCAAAACAAAGGTAATTTAGACTGTGCATTAAATTCTGGGTGGCCTTTTAATAGAGGTAAAGACAATAGAAAAAACCTCACCAGGAAGACCAAAAGGTGGCCGCAGCCGCTTACTAGAGGTGGCCAGTTAATAGCGGTCTTATTTACAATATTTTACTGACAATAATTTCAGGACTTTGATAACTTGCCGCTTAATATAAGGGGTGGCCACGTAATAGAGGTTCGACTGTAGAGGAGACAACTGAAATATTCAGGATTTCAATAAGCAGCAAGTGAGTCACTGACTTCTTTTCTTGAAAATCATAGCCATGCAGTAGCAACGATACATACCTGTGCTTTTTCTTGATATCAGTAAAAACTAAAATATCATCTGCCTCAATGTGCTTCCTGTATCGGAGCAGTTCACCAGCATCTGAATTCATTGTCCCTTCATCAGCAATGTGTGAGAACACAAATCCTTCGGCACGGATAAACTGAAGACCCGCTGCTTTTGCCACTGCAAGAGCTTCCTTATTTGCCCCTGCCAATATTTGAATACCACATGGCAAGTTGTTCGCTTCTTTTTTGACTTCATTGCAAACTACACTCATTGATGCAACAATTTCTGGTCCAACTTGTCGATTTAGATATGGAATGTCATGCATATTCTCCACCATGATAGCATCCTGAGAAAATAAAAGCAACTGTCTTACTCCTTCAAACCCAGGAACAAGATAAGGAGTAAGAAAAGATACCACTTTTCTTACTGATCACAGTGTATGATACTCCTTTAATGTTTCATGCAATATAACATTATTATATAATTAATCTTAATCTTGCAAAATACATCCTGTCAATGTTTTACATGTACTTGGAATGTAAGAACAGACAATGATCAGAATTTTAACTTGAAGAGCACAAATTTAAAATAAAGGATACAATTAACAAACTTCCACCACATAAAAACAATTATAATTATGTATTTTCTTTCTTCAACTGTTTGACTACCAAGGCCTTTGACTATGAAGGCATTATTGATCTTTTTGTTGTAAAATTTAGCACTATATATGAAATAAATTATTATTTATTCTATCTTTTTGTTTCTGGCAATACCTGGAAAATAGCAATACTTACAATATTGCAATGAGCTAAGTGTATTAGACCACACTAATAAAGGTTACTTACTTTACTTTATTTGCTTATTATGTTCCTAGTTAAAAACTACCCTATGTGGCATGGATATACTCAGGTACATGACTGTATACGACACATATGAGCCTAGGAACACAGGCTGCTAGCTGGTACCAAGATGAACAAGTCAAGGTCCTTACCACTCCAGCATTTTTGTAATTAGTCGCATCAGAACAAGCCATGCTAATTATTTCACTCATAGACAGGTGATTTCTTGGAGTTCCTTTAATTAAAAGAAGAGAAAGGCAGGCTAATGTTAATTTATTACATATTGAATAGTCCCAACTCTAAACAGACGTATTGCAAAGATCAGAATCAAGCAAAACAAGTTTGATCCCTGGACACATTAGATCTCTCACTGCCTGGACTACCTCAACCCAGACCTGATCTTGTGTACTGAAGGCATCCAAGGTTGAGTGTGGATCAATACCCTCGATCAACCCTTGATCAACATCTCAATCAACACTTGATCAACATCTCGATTAATGCTCGAGCAACACTCCATTGACAGCCGGTCGAGACATTGATCGAATGTCGACTGACTCATATGTATTGATCGACACCTGATGCAGGGGTTTCATTAATGTTTTCAGCAGGAGGGTAACTAGTTTTCACATGTGGCCAAAACTATTAGAACTGAACTTCATTGTGAGAAAAACTTTCTGCTAGATGGTCAAACCAGCCAGGCAAAATTTTCCTCACAGCCAGTCAATTTGCTCGGTGCCTGGTGCCTAGCCCATGTTACCCCTGTTGATGGCATGTCTGCGAAAATTGGTCAACTCTCGACAGAGATGAAGATCGAGTGTCAACCAAGGTGTTGCTCCAGTGTCGATAGAGTATTGAGGATTGATCAAGGGTCAATTGAGGGGATCCACCTAGGGTATCGATCGACACTCGACCACAGATGCCTTTGGTACAAAAGCTCCAGTCAATCTATGAGCCCAATACTATGGAAACAACTTCTGGCTTTCATTGCAGTAAATCAAGCCACTAAAACTCACCAAAAGAATTGTTTATCTTGGGAAAAATAAAAAATATATAGCTACCTCAAACCTGTATCTCAATCTTGTAACATAACTGATGTTTCTAATAAAGTGTATGAATGTATGTTAGTGTCTTTTAAGACTTCCCTTATGAAAGCAAAATCCAGAAGGTACCATACAAACTCATTATTTCGGACTAAGTTTACATAATTTTTGATATGGCAGATTGCACCAAGAAAAGCTTTATTGAAAGCTAACTGAGACTTCTCGTAACTGTTAATTAAACCTACCATCTGCTGACCATTCGAAACTTTTCTTATTAGCTTATACCCTATTCAGTTATCGTATACCGTAAAAAAAAATATTTACCATATATACTATATTAATTATTATAGCTAAAAATCAGGGCAAATAAAAGTTGAGGTGTTTCTATTCCAGCAACACCACGGCGGGGCTTAATGATTAGTTTACAATATTTATGCGTACTCATATCACACTTCAAGGAAAGTGTTAAAATGCGGTTAAAACCCCATTAAAGAAACCTTCGTCTTAGAAACCAACAGCTCCGTGCAAAGTCAAGGAAAGATGAAAATAACTACCACATTACCTGGGAGTGCTTGTACATGAATCATTCCAATTACCACGGCCGACCTCCGACCAAAAATACGAGTAAACTTCGACACTGCACTTGCAGCCATGTTTCTCAGCCTGGTCGAATCAGCCTCGCTTTCCTTCTGTGTACCGGAAGTCGATTTTTTCCTGCACTTCCTGTTTGGGTACTAGGGTCTCCGAGGACGGGAGCTTTTATGCAAGGCTAATACGAAGACTACAAAGAGTCTACAAAGTGAAAGATGTTATCATTTTAGGAAGATTTTATAATTATGAGAAGGGCGGGAGTTTCATTTATCACTGCATGTAGGCTTACTGTAATTTTCCAGTTTTAGAATACAGTCGAACCACCGGTTGCGACCACCTCTCGTAAGCGATCACCTCTCCTCAACGACCAATTTCCCAAATACCAAAAGTTTCCAAGTCAAATCACTATATTTGGAACCTCTTGTAAGCGAACCTCTCATAAGCGACCGCGACCACTTTTAGAGCGAAAAGGTTAAAAGTTTCTTTGATTTTTAACCTCCCGTAAGCGACCACTCGACAGATACACTCTTTTGTATAAGAATTCAATATAGACTACGAGCAGTCTCTCTTTCCCTCGAAAATCCACGGGGTAGAACGCAAAACAAGAAAGAGTGCGAGCGTGACTGTGAGTGTGACGTGCGAGTGGTGATGCCGCGAGCCGCTAGTAGTGCGGGCGTCGGAAGACGGGCGAAAAGAGACAAAAGCTCGAAACTTTCCTTATCACCAAAGCCAAAATAATACTTGAAATCACTTGATATTTCTAAACAAAGATCTAAGAAGAATTAAATAAGTCTTTCCGTGGAAATTTTATAATAATTTCAGACTACCGGGCTAGCCGGCTGGGTATCTAGACACATGTTAAAAATTTAAAGAAAAAATGCACATACACTGTACTCTATCAGTCTTAACAGAGACCGTAAATGTGTTATAATTTCAGAAAATTAGAAATGATATACCTCAGCAGTCACCATATGCTAATGAGGAAACATTTTGACCCAATATGGTCAAGGCTCTCGTAAGCGACCACCTCCCTAGCGATCCCTAGACTGTTCAATCGCTGAACGTGCGGATAGAATCGCGAGAGAACTGGACACCAACGCAAAACAGAAGACTTGACTGGGTGGATGGTTGGGACCTTTGTCTTTCGAGTACGTAAGAAGACAGGCTGTGAACAGTCTACCTCCTCCCGTAAGCGCTTTATACGGGAGGTTCGACTGTATTGGAACTATGGCGGGCGGCAAATTCAGATTTGCGATCGACCGTGGCGGGACTTTCACAGATGTTTACTCAGAATGTCCAAACGGAGAAGTTAGAGTGATGAAGCTGCTATCTGTGGATCCTGCCTATCCCGATGCTCCAAAGGAAGGAATAAGAAGAATATTACAAGAGGTAATTTACTCGTCGCGTCCGCGCACGAAAACTTTAGGCCTAACAGGAGCCTTGTCCATAGGTCGCTCATATTCCCCGGGGAATGGTCTCCGTGATCAGCCCCGGGCTTCTTTGCTACAGTTTTGGTCAAAATGCTCATTCCTTATCTAACAATGTGTGACTGAGGACCTTCGCTGATACGCGAAATGCACCCACAACACGAAGGTATATCAAGCGAAGTTGTTGTTCGATGGAGAGCAAACAACAGAATATTTAACAATTATTCTTTGAAATCGAGGTGAATAGTGGCATATTTACCGAACCGCCTCGCGGCTCGATAAATCTCTGCCGCTATATTCACCGCGATTTCAAAGAATAATTGCACAGTCATGACAAAATGATGCAAATGTTGAGAGCAATGCAAATATTTTTACCAGGCCAAAAATATAAGGATCAAAATAAAAATATGGTGTAGGTATTATAAAACCGATCTTATTGTGTACACATTATGTATGCGTACAGTTAATTACATGCACCCTAACGCAATTTAATAGCTTACCAAGAGTCACGCAATCGCTTTTTCGCGGTCATCTTCGACGAAAATTTGGATTATCGGGGATTATTCTTGGCCCGTTTCTTCCTATATGTTGTTTTTAACAAAGCATTCAGTTCATGCTAGTTCGTGAAC